ACACACATATTACACACAAGAAAAACACAAATATTCAAAAGAGAACAAGTCTTGTAATCGTTCGATAGCAGAGAAATAAAAGGTCTAATTTCTTTTGACCTTCGTTTCGATTTTCCTTGGCTTGCATGTTATCTTTGGCTTGAAGAATACCCAAAACGCCGATGAAAAATGGGGAGAGACCGAGACTTTTAATCTCAGATCTACTCTCCCCCGAGGCACTTTTGAAAAAACTAGTTTGATATTCGAGTTGTGGGTGAAAAGAGGATTTCAAAAATATAAATTTTTTTATATTTCGCCGTCGATGATTGGCGGTCGGTGCCGATCAAAGGTGGCCGGGGAGGCAGTGCCAACGTATTTCTGGGTTTGCTGCGGCGGTGTTCTTCACGAAGGAAGAACACCCATGAACACTAGAGATAAACAAAGGGGGAGACATTTTAATCGGATGGAGGGGTGTTTTAAAAATGGAACATGTTTATGGATTTTAAGTTAAATACTGAACCCATGGAGCTCCAACCGACCCGACCCATGGGATCTCTGACCCGCGTGTTTTTAAGGGATAAAGGGGTTAAACCCCTTTCTTATCCCTCGATGTTTTAATGCTTCAATTTGACCCCATATTCGATTTTAAACCCCCAAATCATTCTTAAATTGACCCTTTAATTTTGATTTTATTGTAAATTAACCCCTTTTATTATTTATTATTAGTATTATATTTTTCATATTTTATTATTATTATTATATTTTTCATATTTTATTATTATATTATATATATATATTATTTTTTTATTTTATTTTAGTATCCTTTATTGTTTTTGGACTTTTCTTTACTCATTATTTTATTTCATTTTTTGTTTGTTTTTTAGGTATTTTATTTATGTATATATATATATATATATATATGTGTGTGTGTGTTTTCATTGATATTCTAATATACCTATCTAGTTAATTTTTCCCTTTCTAAATTATATGTATATATATATATTTACTTTATTTTTGTTTTTATTTGTTTTTTTCCTAATATCTTTACTTTATTTTATCTTTTTATTACTTTTTCGTTTTTATATGTATATTACCTATCTAGGGGGGCCTATTTGTTTTTACTTTGAACCAAAATCCTCCCCCGTGACATGATTAGAGGGGTAGGTACTATGTTTTTATTACTATTATTTTTTTCCTTTTTTATTATTTTATTATTTTTACTTAATATCTATATATTTCTTTTTTTTTTTGTTTTCTTTGCTTTCTATTCTTTTTGTGTCATTTGATTCAATTTTTTATTTTCATTTTTATTTCATTCTATTTTACGTTATTTCTTTTGTTTATTTTTTATTTTTTTTTTATTTTTTTTTTACTTTTATCTTATTTTGTTATTATTATTTAGCTACTTTTAGGTTTTTATTATTTTTTTACTTCTTTTCTTTATTGTAGTAATAGTCTATGTTTAATTATGCAGTTAGTACTTACATGTTTTTGCATTTTTTTTCTTACTTTTAATTTTCAATTCGATTGCCTTTCATTGGCTTTGTTTTTATTCCTTTTAATTCATCAACATGCAGTTTTTTAATTTGATTCTGCACTTTACTACATCTAACACTTTGACTTTTTTAAAGGGTACGCTTTTAAATCAATCAAAGGTAAGTAATTTGAATCAGATTTTTAAATTTTAATTTTAATTTTTTTAATTTTTCGCGATTAAGACAACCGACAAATTAATTGGTACCGAAAGGGCGGTTCAAAGGTGCTAACTCTTCCTTAACCGTAACCGACTCCCAAATCCGACACATTTATGGTAAAACGCATATCAGGTAAGATGGTATCCGATCTACCTAAATTTCGTTTTAAAACGATCGGTGGCGACTCTAACCCAATCAATTCAAGTCGTAGCCCAATTTCGGGCCCATATCGAAAGACGGCGACGCATAATAAAAATCATAACAAACATAATTTTTTACTAACTAGAATAAAATTAAGGGTAAATTATGTGTTTAGTACCTAAACTATCAATTTTGGTCTATTTTAATACCTAAACTATCAATTTTGGTATATTTTAGTACCTAAACTATTAATTTTTTTCTTCAAAATCATACCTAACGTTTAGTTTTTGTTACATTTTAGTATCTCACCGTTAAAAACCTTAACAGACGGTCTCGCCGGCCGCAATGTCTACAGTCGTCGGTCGTTACATCTGTCGGCCGATAAAGTCCAAACTTTCTAGCCCAGACCTTTTCGACCCCTTGAATATGATTTTAGCCTCTGTTTCACCGTAAAAAGCCTCAATCACCCCAAATCAACAATGAACTCTTCAACTTCTTCATCCTTTGATCTCCATCGTCAACCATCTGATGGGCCTGAAATTGGACTATGTTGGTCAACTCGTCATTTTCCTATGGTTCACCATTCAGATTGATCGTCCGTCCACCGGACCTATGTCCCGCTAGCCCGTCCGTTAAGTTTTTAACAATGAAATATTAAAATGAAACAAAACTAAATGTTAGGTATGATTTTGAAAAAAAAATGAAAGTTTAGGTACTAAAATGGACCAAAACAAATAGTTTAAGTACTAAATGTGTAGTTTATCTTAAAATTAAATCTATTAAAGGTTCATTGTGTTTCATTGTGTTTCTATACTAGATTAAAATTAGTAATTTTGTTTCTACTTTTTAATTACATCAATTTTACATTTAACCGATATGGTGTTAATATGGCAGCACGCTATACTTTGTTTAGTTAGTAAAATGATGAATTAATTTTTTTTGTTTTATTATATAAAAATCTATATGAGAATTAAATTTATATATGAAGAAGGCTAGGGGTTCCTGACCAACTGCTATCCATGTTTTTGAAGGTGACCAAACATACAGTGAGAAGCCATCGGTTGCATCCATTTTTCATGGGCAGTAGATTTTAGTTGCTGCTGGCGTTCTCAAGGGGAAGAAATGTATTGCATGCCCCGCTGTAAAGCTTAATGCGGTCTTGGCATGAGCAACTTGATTAAAACCTGACCTTATAGATCGTTGTTTCACTGATGGAAATATGGTTACTGGAGTAGCTTGGCCAGGTCACCCAGAGTTCATTTCTCAGTTAATGGCTTTGTTTCATCATGTCCTTTTAATATGAGAAAGGATATAAAAGAAAGGTGAATAAAGTAGAACGGAAGAAAGCATCACATTTAATTCAAGTAGAACGAAAGGAGGCATAGCATTTTTGATTCTCGTCTAAAATAAACATAAGGAAGCATCGCACTTTCGATTCTCGTTTAAGTAGAATGGAAGGAAGCATCACACTTTCGATTGCATCGCACTTTCGATTCTCTCGTCTAATAGAATAGAACGAAGCATCACACTTTCGATTCTCGTCTAAAGTAGAATAAAAGAAGCATCGTACTTTTGATTATCGATGACAAGAATGGTGAATGAAGAGAAAACATTTTTCCTTATAAAGAGCCAACTCAAATGTTTTACATCAATAAGGTCGAAGAAGTAGGGTGAATGTTAAACAGTTAATAGTTTGATACTAGTTGGCAATTAGTTAAGAATTTGTTAGATTTGTTAAGTTGTTACTATTGTGTTATAAATACCCAATCATTGTAGTGTAATTATCATCCATTGTAATTCACTTCTACAATTAGTAAAAAAACATATTACTTCCCATTTATTTGTTATCACCTATTGCCTTCCTCTTCTTCATTAAGCACTACCGTTCAGCAAAGTCCGGCCATTGTGTCGGAGTATCAACATTTCATCACTTGAAAATTTCATAATAAGTAAAGTCGTACTCTAGCGAAAAAAACAAAATATTCTCAAACGTTATTTAAAAAACCCTAAAGTTAGTAAAAAAAATAAGATACTAACAAATATTAAAAATAAAAAGAATTTTAAGAATAAGATACTAACAAATATTAAAAATAAAAAGAATTTTAAGATTACAAAGAACTTAAGTATAAAATTTAAAAAGTAATAGAAGTTATAAAACACATAAATTAAAAGATAAAAAATCAAAGTTTTAAAATATTAAAAAAAAATTCAAATTTTTTTATCAGAGTTACAAAAATAATAGATTTTAGAGTTTCGAAACTTCAAAAAGTTTTGACAAAAATTTGATCAACATAAGGTGACTTGATCCTCCATAGGAATTTGAGTATTCTATGGACATGCACTGAGAGGTTCATTGGTTTTCTGAAGGTATTTGTGGTGCTACTCGTCGTTTCAATACTAGTTAGATGCAGAGATCTGAATAGTCGGCTGGATTTTTTTCATTTTCTTTTGCTTTGTTGGCTTTCATTTTGTTTTATTTTATTGTTTTCATTTCTTTGCCTATTTTGTTTGTTTCCTCGTGTACGACTGTTGACGTCTTTTACGGCTGGATTCTATTAATAAATGTCGACTTTACATTTGTTCATAAAAAAAATTATTAATCACTCATCAAACTATATGATTTAGATTTAGAGTAATTTTAGTACGAATTAAATGATTTAGATAATTAAATGATGATTATTATTTTTAAAAGTTTTATGTTTAAACACCAACAATTAAACATTCTTTATCAAATAAATAAATTTTAAAATAGATATTATTATTTATAACCTCTTAAATTTAAAAAAATTAAGAGATTTGAGTCTGTAACGTACCAAACAGACATTAATGCTTGTCAGAAGCCCAGTGATGCTTTGAGGTGATCCGATTTCGAACCTATTATTCCTTTCATTGCTTAACACATTGTTTATTTGCTTAAGTAGTATGACATCTCATAAATTTATGCCAGCTCAAAAGAGCTGACTTTAAGAATGACTATGACCGGTATGCTCAATATTGTATTATAGCTTGAAACAAGATTAGTTTTTTTGTGGTAAATACAATGAATTTACCCTGTTGTCTACCATCAATTATTTCCCACTTTCGACCAAAAACAGAGAAAGAGGAATATAATTATTTTCACTTGCATACAACAAAAGGCACTATAATAAAAGATGACATTTTCAAGGATGAAAAAGACAGCAAACAAGGTAAATGGCATCTAATTATTGATAATAATATAATATAAGTAGTAATTCTTAACCAAAGTAAAAACATCCTTGTTGGTTAAGACAAGGTAAGTTGAAAGGGCTGAATTCAATGGCCTCTGCTTCATATACCCCATTGCATACAGTGGGGCTGTTGATATGGTCGAGGATCTCGTTTAGGGACTCGAGTCTTTGACTCAGCTCCATCATCTGAGCCCTCAAGACCGTGTTCTGGGTCTCCACGTTCACGTATCTGAGCCCTCAAGACCGTGTTCTGGGTCTCCACGTTCACGTAGCGCTGAGTGGTGGAGCCGATGCTGCTCTGGATTTGGTTATTATCACTTTTCAGCTCTGTTATTTGAGCCACTAAATCATCCAAGTGTTTTTGTTTTCTCATCCTCGATCTCCTCGCTGATTCCCGGTTCGATTCCATCCTCCTCCGTTTTCTTTGATGATCGGACCCCGATTTCTGTTGTTGCGGAGATAAAGCTGAAGAATTGGAGATGGATTTTCCACTGGAGGAAGCCATGTGGATTTATTCTATTTATTCTGGATAAATCTAACCTCGAAGAAGCCGATATAGGACCCTGACGCTAATTGTGTTAAGTTTTTTTTTTAACTAAACTAAAAGCGAGAGAGAATTAATTCCGAGAAAACATAGAACCAGTAGAGGAAAACAACAGAGAAAGATTGAACGAGATGGGTCCTGCGTCTGAGGGACGAGTTTATCATAAACCCTGATCGGATGATTTCACTGACAACCGGAGACATGGATCCCCAACATCAACATCCGAACTTATGCAGCATCAAGATTTACACGCTCAACACAGAAGAAAGAAACAAGAAAAATAAAACTTTATTATTTTTTGGCAGGAAAATATCATCAACAGAAAATCTCAGCAAAAAAAAAGAATTTGTAGACGATGGATTTTTGTTATAGACTCCAGAATTCAAAGTTCTGCAACCAAAACCCACCATAGAAGGGCAAAGAAACCCAGTAAAAGGATATGAAAAGAACAGAGAGAGAAGCTAAGGAAAATATTGAAGAAGTTCAGATGTAAAAGAAACACAAGACAATCTCAAAAGGTAAAGAAAGATAGCAGAAATGGAAGAGATTTTTCAGAGAACTGAGAAGGCAATATATAGAAGAAAAAGGAGAAATGAAAAAAATGAAAGGCAAAAAAACAGCAGAAATCCTTGACTTTTGAAAAAGAATCAACCAAATCATCGTATTTGTTTTTGGCAATTTTTTCAATAAATTATCGGCGATCGATATATTTATCGATCTAACATGGTCAGATTATATTTTCTGATTTAATATCGATCAGATTATATTTTTTGATCTAACACTCGAAGCAGTAAAGCTCGTCCCCTGAATCGCGTTATACATTGATTTGACGCCACATGGGTATAACGCGCCCTCTGACCCGCGATATACGGTGATCTGACATCACGTGGATATAGAGCGTCCCCTGATCCGCGCTATACCTGGGTATCTGACACGTGGGGTATAGCGCGGTGCAGGGGGCGCGCTATACCCCTAAATACCCAACCCTTTACGTCCTCATTCTCCTTATAAATACCCTATCCTCAATCACTTTTATCACACCAAATTTTCTCAAATTCTCTAAATTTCTCTCAAATACTCTATCTTATTAAGGTATATTTTATAATATTTTTACTATTATGCATTTATTTTATTTAATATTTTACTAATATAATTCTTTTGCAGATATATAATAGAATGCAGTCTACTTCGCTCGGACGGAAATCATATATCTCTACACTTTGCTGATACGGTAACATTTTAACATTTTAATTTAATTTAAATTATTAGTAATATTTAGTTGATTTATTTAATGCATGATTATTAGATTAAGAATTAAATATCTCGACACTTTGTTGATACGGTAACATTTTAACGTTTTAATTTAATTTAAATTATTAGTAATAATTTGTTGATTTATTTAATGCATGATTATTAGATTAAGAATTAAATATCTCGACACTTTACTGATACGGTAACATTTTAACGTTTTAATTTAATTTAAATTATTAGTAATAATTAGTTGATTTATTTAATGTATGATTATTAGAGTAAGAATTAATTTTTGTAATTATTTATTTTTAGGAGAAGGACCGTGTATTAGATCCTTTTATTAGGAATCTTAAGTTAGTGATACCCAGTCGTGTCTTGCCGTATTTAGTAGAGGTTGGATTCGGTTACATAGGTAGATATCAGGGTCACTGTAAGATAGAGCCATACCTGATTTCTACCTTAGTAAAGCGGTGGAGGCTGGAGACCCACACATTCCATCTTCCGTGCGGAGAGTGCACGATCACGCTTGAGGATGTTTCTATGCACTTGGGGCTTCCGGTGGATGGAGATGTGATATCGGGGATAGCTTACGGTTCTTGGACTACTTTATGTCGGGATAGTTTAGGACGTGTCCCGAAAAATTTATGGAGGTAGGATACCGTTAAATTGGTTAGATACCAATTTTCGGGAGTTGAGCGCAGACGCCTCTGAGGATGAGGTTAAGATGTATGCACGGGCATGCATACTGCAGCTGATAGGAGGGTTGCTGATGACAGACAAATCGCACAACCTAGTTCACTGCATGTGGTTGCGACATCTTATTGACTTTCGTCTCGCCGGATCATTCAGTTGGGGCTTGGCAGTTTTGGCTTTGCTGTACAGGGAGATGTGTGGAGCCACTGACTACAGACGTAATGCTATCGGCGGATGTCTCCTGCTGCTGCAGTCTTGGGCTTGGTATCGATTGCCCTTTTTATGTCCCGTTGTGAAGAACCCATTCGTATTTCCACTACTTCTGAGGTAATTATAAAACTGATTTTGTATATTAATAATTTTATACAACGTATAACAAATATTTTTCCTTGAATAGGTGGTCTACTGATAGGAAAAATCATCAGGAGCTACCTAATGATTTAGAAAAAATTAGGGTGCTAATCGATCAGAAGGCTGGCACATAGTTTTAATGTTTAAAAATCGATTTTAGATTATAGTTATATAATTAGATTATTATTTTGATAAAATTTATATATTATTTGTTTTAGTTTGAATAGGTGTCATATTATACTGATGATGTGAAGGTGGTGATCCCACCTGAGTTGAGGGGTCCATCAGATATTGGATGGCGATGGTCCCTCTGATCTGTTATGCGATCGTCGAGTGGCACTCCACTGATCGCGTGCTCTGGCAGTTTGGTTGTTTTCAACCAATTCCAGAAGCACCTCACAATATGGACGAGTTGCAAGCTTAGATAGACGCGGCAAGACAGATACAGATTGGCTGGTGAGGCATCATGGGTGGGTCGTGTTGTGGGAGGATCGACATCGGCACCTTCCCCGTAGAGAGCCCATTTTTTTATGACTTCTTGATGTATGCTGAGGATTATTATGAGTGGTTCAACAGTAACGGGAAACCGTTTCTACTTCCCGAGGATGCACGAGGGTAGACCTTTCCACGACGTCGACAGAGACGTTCACCGACACAGCACCATCGTCCCTCGACTCGTGGACGGAGAGCAGGTGCTTCCGGTTCATCCTCAGCTGTACCAGTAGGACCTTCCCAGTAACTACCGCATCCATATATGATACCGCAGCCATATATGATGTCGTCATCGCCTTTCCATTACCAGATGCTGCCGCTGCCGCCTTCACCTGTTTTATGACCCCGCCACCGTCACAGATGACCCCTCCTGGAGGCTATTATGGGTCTATGTTTGAATATCCGACTTGGGGTTCATATGCTAGATATTTGGCGGGTTCAGCCTCATCACCCATGGCCGCAGCACAGACACCTCCTGTACAGTTTTCACACTCAAGATGTCTGAGTTTTTCCAGTTTTCGCAGGCTGGTGAGATATTCAGTCATACACCTCCAGAGTCCTTATTCTATGGAGGAGCTTCATCGTCATCAGCTCCTCATCAACCTAATGTACCTGCTCAGGACGATGACGACGACGATGACGATGGTGACGACGACGACGATGATGATGATGACAACGAGGAGTCAGAACCAGTGATACGAAGAAATCCTCCTCGAGACCGACAGCCACCGCCCTGCGGAACACATTCGCGACGCAGGCATCGATATATTTTTTTTATTATATTTGTATTTACTTTATTTTGTTTAATTATATTTTTTTATTATTTCTCATTTAATACTTACTTTATTTTGTTAAATTTGTTGGAATTTTTTTAAATATATTTCAGTTAATTTTGTTTATTACCATTTAATATCAGTTATTGTAATTTGGTTATCATTTACCATTTAATTCTTATTGTAAGTTTGTTGTATTTAAATACCAAATTGTTATTAGTTTGATAAAATTTAATGATTGTGTTCATTTTTTAATCTTCATCAAGGATTATAGAATGACATTAACTTGAAGTAAATGCAAATTAAAATACAAGAATTATTATTTGATAAACAAATACATCATTTCCTCATCAATTGTTACTTGATGACAACAGAAGTGGACATGTTTTTCTAGTGTGTCATGGGTTTCTACAATGGCCACATCTTCTGTCTTGTCTAGATCTTTCTCGAATATCCATATCGTAATGAATTCGATTGGATTTTGGACGACCACGCTCTCTCAATAAACTCAGATTTGGTACAATCGGAAGCCAATCTTGAACCTCATCAGGGTCTTTGTCATTACCTATGGGGGGAAACTCAAATTCATATACCTTAAAAACTTCAGATAGTAGGTATACGGGATCCACAAAATGGTTATAGTCTTGATGTGTATGCGAGCAAACTGCTATCACATGAGAGCATGGATACTTCAGAGCTTGAAAAAACCCGCAGTCTCACGTTGTCCCTTAGATTTACTCTTAACGACACAGCTTCAATCCCTTGAAGAGGTCGCAGTAACTCTGTGACACGAAACATTTCATGCCTTCTTGAGAAGCTTGTTACAGATATTCCATTTGATGCAACAATTTTTTTCTGTAGATCTGCAACTAATCTAGGGTGATAGACATGACTGCCTTGCATCCAGGTTTGAGCTTATCCCCCGAGCTTCGCAAAAAGCACCCCCAAACAAAAATATATAGTTTTTACCAAAGTCGCTACAGGTAAGTGACGTGCACCCTTTAAGGTTGAATTGATTGCCTCAGCCAAGCTGGTCGTCATGTGTCCATATCAATATCCACCATCATATGCGTTCGTCCACATTTCTTTATCGATGAGGCTGATGTAATTGTATCCTTCCTCGTTCTTCGCCCGTAAATCTTGAAGCATTGATTCAAACGTTCGAGGAAGTAGTTTGTAACATGATCAAAAAATGTATAACTTACTAACTTGCTTTCTTTGCAAAATTAAAATGATCAAAAAATGTATAACTTACTAACTTGCTTTCACTTACCCATTCGCACAATTAATTGACGCTCATCATTCTTCTTGTACCTTCCATGATAGTTCGCAGCAATGTGTCGGAGACAATACCTATGTTGGACAAACGGTGGTTGCCACATTGGACCCAAAGACTCCATTACTGCTCTGATCCAGCTCCGCGATCTGAAATGACACAGATTGTTTCCCTCGTGATAACATGTGCACGTAAATTTCGGAGGAAAAAAGCCCAAGAATTTGT